TGGCAGAGCGTTGCCAAGACGCACGCGCGCCGCCTCGGAGACATGCGCGCGCGCGCCTCCCGCAACAGAGGGATGGGGGCGAGCTCGGCGCGCCTCGACTCCGCCTCCCCCGTCCCTCCGCCTTTTGCCGCGGAGGCGGCGCCCTGGCCCACCTCTCAGGGGGCGGCCCTGCACCAGCGCCCAGCAAATCCACCACACCTGATCGCACGCCGGGGCGACCATTCCTGCCTCCTTCTCCTCCTCCTCCTCCTCCTCCTCCTCCTCCTCCTCCTCCTCTTCCTCCTCCTCCTCCTCCTCGACCATTCTAATGTCAGGCAGGCCCTGGAAGAAGAGGAATCGCTCCACGGCGCTCCGGAGCGCTCCGGAACGGCCGCGCTTCGCCCGAGGCTCGGGGGCATTGCCCCAGAGGTCTGCCTGGCCCAAAGGTGGGCTCCCAGGGCTCCCAGGGAGGCCCTCGCAGCCATGGCTCCAGATTGCAGCGGGAAGCCCAGGACGCGGGCCAGGGGCATGTTCGGTATCCCCCGAGATGCATCCTCCAGAGCTGCCGGCTGCCAGAGACTCCTGATCCGTCCTCCTTCGGATGTATCTTCGTGTGTCCCCGTCTTGCACTGCTCCTCTTCATCACCTAGCTTTAAGTCGGGCCTGTCCCTCTACAGGAGGACTTTTCAAAAATTGGCAAAAACATGCTCTGCGGACGATATTTTGAATATTGTTTGACTATTTGGGGGCATGTTTTGAGTATGTTTAACTTTTCGCCCAAAATCCGCCTGTAGTGGGACATGCCCGACCTGAGCCTAGCTCCGCCTCCTCGTCCTCGCCATGTTCGTCCTCATCCTGATGCTGCTCCTCCTGCAGATCCCTGCGGGCTGCAGGCCCGTCTGCCCCCTGGTGAAACAGGATGGACGGGGCCGCAGCACACTAGATTTACTCCCAGCCCAGTTTCTTGGGTCGGCCGCTCCTGCCGAATCAACGGTTCTTTCTTGTCCGGTGATCGCGTCATCTTTCGGACGGCCGCGTCATAGGAGTTCGAGTATTTCAAGCTCGATTCATGCAACCCACCGGTCCTAAGATGTGAGATGATTGGGACTCTCCGGGTCATGTCGGGGGCCTCTTGGGGATGGCTGTTTGGAGATCGTCTCGTAAGCTTCTTGGGAGATTAAACGAAACGTATTGGGAGCCTTTTCCGCGTTTCCGGGGAATGTGTTGGGAGCCTGAATGAGAAACGCTTGTGTGCTCTTGGACCGAACGCTCGAGCTGCCTCATTCTATAGACGTCCTAAGCCAGGCCATTGAGGCCATGTTGGCGCGTGTTGCTAGTCTTCGTTACGGAGCTAGTCTGACGTCTCCAAACGGTCCCGCGACAAGCCCCAGAGGTGCACGAGAGCGCTTGGGAATCGGACCTTCAGGGCCTTCAAAACACGAGTCCTCAGTCTACGAAGCCGCAGTTGCTCACTTTGGCTCAAGCCAGCATGTTCCACACGAATCACATATCTTACATGTCGCGGGGCACCTTCGTTTTCGCGTCGTTTATTTTGGTTAAGCGCGTGGCAGCCATTCAACACTCCTTGGAGGGTACTGTTCTGAGGCAGGATGAGTTAGGTGGCCATGAGCATAAAATCCCCTTGCAGCTTGTCATGACGGCGAAACAGGGGTCTATAGGTGAGCTACCGCTCAAGGTACGAGACAATGTTCGCAGAACTTTGCATCTGAACCCCCATCTGCGGGTGCGATTTCTTAATGATACAGATTGCGGCGACTTCATTGCTTCAAACTTCGGAGCTGATCTGCATTCTGCGTACGTCAACGAGAAGTATGGGGCTTACAGAGGTGATATTTGTAGAGCTGCCGTGGTTGCGCTCGAGGGTGGCTTCTACGCGGATTTGGACATGCAGTTCCGCGTTCCTTTTTCGGAAATGGTAGACGGGAACACAACTTTCATGAGTGCATTTTCCAGAGATTGTCAAATGTTGAACGCTATTTTCGCAGCAGAGCGCGGCAGCACGGTGATGCAACGCGTTCTAGAGACGATCAAGGATTGGTACAGCGGGATCAGGCCAGCCACGGGTGGATTGATGGGTATTGTGACTATGATGAAGGGGTTGCAGAAGGTGGTGCAGGATGAGTGCCCAGGGCTAAACATTAAGAGAGACAGTTCCCAGGGGGCTGGAGTTCAATGTGGGCCTCACCAGACTTTCCAGCTCTACAGGGAGCAGCGCTTCAGGTGCCAGAAGGGTATGGACACGGACCATCGCTATTGGAAGGCGCACCCAGAGTGCACGCGAGCGCGTGCCGCCAGCGACTTCGAGGGCCTGCAGTACGGCATCTTCAGGCCCGATAAGCGGGTGGGGCGGGGGCCACTGTTGGCGTGGTCCCGATTCGAGGCCTGCACGGGGTGGGGCTGCGAGCAGGAGGGCAGGAGGGAGGCCGCAGAGGATCACGTGACTTGCAAAGAGTAGTGACGTCACGTTGTTCGACGTACAGCGGGGCTGGCCCCGAGCGCG